TGAAATTAGGGAAATGCTGTTATTAGTGGCTAATTAAGAGAAGACAATAATAGAACTTTTGGCTTTGTTGCAAATGAACCTTAATTAGTTTTGTGAAATAAGCATATTTTAACGTTAAAATTTTATAAATGATAATAGGAAGTACATAATATATATTTTTTCTGTTAATTTTTTTTGTATATTTCAATGTAGATATTATATTTATAAAATATTTTTTAATGATCAAAGGAGCATAAAATTTTGAAGGAAAAACATATGCCGGTATCAAGTATCTTAGATTTATTTAGAAATTATTATTTATCATATCTAATTACGTTTTAACTCAGCTGTTAACAATCATTTGGTATTCACAATAAAAATGTATGAAAACTACTTTCTCCATCGATGTATCATTTGCATTGCCATCTCATGATACTCTCAGAGTTACCATATCTATTCATTTTTCGAGAAAGTTCTACATCCACTTTGTGACACCCATTTACTTTTTTTCCACGTCTAGAATTTACAGAAGTGTATATGTGTTTATAACGTGGATCATGGGAATCAAATATTATGGCTAGTCAGTTTGGCAGTTGCTTGAGCCAGACGATGTGTTGCACTCAATGAATCCCAGGCTTACATCGCACTAGCATATTGTGGGCCCTGGTCGTGACACACTTACGACCTACACACTTATGACCTTGTCCACGTATATCCCAGCCAAATGCCCATAGTGAAATTTGATGACCTATTGGACTCTTTCTGTCCTAAGATCACAGGCACTCAACTTCTCAAGAGAGAATGTACATGGTTCCTCGACCTCCACATTTTCCTTGAATTTCACTGATGTACCCAACTCTCATGCCACTCCCTAACTGTACTGAATCATAGATGCTATGTTATGTAGGTCCAACCAGCAGTTGGTGTTGTAAACCCAGGCAAAAGCATTGAAGTATCTGTACACCATGAAGAAAATTCTACTCAAGAAGCATTTGTGGACGGAATTATAAGTAGCCGACGGTGCGAAGACATTATGGAGAAAGAAGCCGTGCTGTTAGTGAATGTAATGGGTAATTACTCGACCAAGCGAATAACTCACCGGGTAAATGTCCATTGCTGTTATTCGGACAGGCTGTCCAGTGGGGAAAAAGGAATTTCTAAGAGAGTTCAATCAAACCATCTTGGTGCTGATTTTGCTGCAGACCTGGAAAGTAACACAGATTTGGTTCAGGACTCATGTACAAACCCCTGATCATTGTACTGATACTTCATAAAAGATGAATTTTTTGGAGAAATTGAGGTAACTTTAGATCAATTCTTTATTCTTTTGTACATATTAGCTAACATGCAAAATGTTCTTTAGACAGTTGATTTTGATTGTTTGTAGGGCTATATTTGTTGGTTATCTTAAAGTTCCTTGTCGAAATGTATTTGTTAGGTATGATCTTGTGTATTTACACTTTGTAATGATGTGCATAAGCTCTTGTAAGATTTTTGCCCCTTTTTTCCGCCTACTGTATATTTGATAGAGAACTGTAATGAGTTTATTTGAAGGGTGATGATTCTTTACTAGTTTGATTCATGCTGGACAGTTTATTTCTGATTTTCACTGGATTCTTGTTCTAGGTAACTGTTATCCCTCTCTCACCCCACTTCTTGAAATAACCATCAAATTTCTATTAGCGAGTTGAAACTACAATAAGAGGAGAGAAAAATGTTGTGGATGCCAATTAAATTGGTGGATAACCGTGAACGTGCCGTCAACTGCACGTTAATCAGCTTTTGAGCGAGTCATAAAAAGTAGAATATGATGTCTTTTTGACATAGGAGACATATATTTTTCCTTTCTTTTGTGAGATCAAGATGTACGTCTTTCATGTATGTTTCTATTGGAGACATTTCATTAGCTTGTCCTACTGGAGACATTTCATTAGCTTGTGTTTAATGTAATATTGGGGGTTAAATATACTTCACAGTTTTTCATCTGAAGAAAATGTTCCCCTTTAACATTCAAGAATGAAGTTACGATAAACTCATTAGAAAGAGAGTAGAAAGGTTAAGAAGAAAATTAGACATTTTCCTGTGCTAATCTATAGCAACAGAATTATACTAATAAGGATTAGGAAAGGTAGATTAAGGTTACTTTAGCGACATGCACTAAGCCTGCATGCTTTAACATGAAAAGATGCACCGTGTCTCCTAAAGCAAACACATGGATGCGCCTATTTTTCTGTTTCTTTTCCTGTAAATGTGCTTGTTTTGAGGCACTTGGCAATGCCCATTAACTCTTTCTCTTCTTATTTTACATCCATGCAACTTTTCTCGTTGCACATGAGAGAGAAAAGATTAAAGAAGTGAAGGTTCGCTCACCTTAGTGCTCGTTGTTTTCCCCCCTTTCAGGCAGCGAGTCTGGCGCACGGAGAGTTGAAATTAGGGAAATGCTGTTATTAGTGGCTAATTAAGAGAAGACAATAATAGAACTTTTGGCTTTGTTGCAAATGAACCTTAATTAGTTTTGTGAAATAAGCATATTTTAACGTTAAAATTTTATAAATGATAATAGGAAGTACATAATATATATTTTTTCTGTTAATTTTTTTTGTATATTTCAATGTAGATATTATATTTATAAAATATTTTTTAATGATCAAAGGAGCATAAAATTTTGAAGGAAAAACATATGCCGGTATCAAGTATCTTAGATTTATTTAGAAATTATTATTTATCATATCTAATTACGTTTTAACTCAGCTGTTAACAATCATTTGGTATTCACAATAAAAATGTATGAAAACTACTTTCTCCATCGATGTATCATTTGCATTGCCATCTCATGATACTCTCAGAGTTACCATATCTATTCATTTTTCGAGAAAGTTCTACATCCACTTTGTGACACCCATTTACTTTTTTTCCACGTCTAGAATTTACAGAAGTGTATATGTGTTTATAACGTGGATCATGGGAATCAAATATTATGGCTAGTCAGTTTGGCAGTTGCTTGAGCCAGACGATGTGTTGCACTCAATGAATCCCAGGCTTACATCGCACTAGCATATTGTGGGCCCTGGTCGTGACACACTTACGACCTACACACTTATGACCTTGTCCACGTATATCCCAGCCAAATGCCCATAGTGAAATTTGATGACCTATTGGACTCTTTCTGTCCTAAGATCACAGGCACTCAACTTCTCAAGAGAGAATGTACATGGTTCCTCGACCTCCACATTTTCCTTGAATTTCACTGATGTACCCAACTCTCATGCCACTCCCTAACTGTACTGAATCATAGATGCTATGTTATGTAGGTCCAACCAGCAGTTGGTGTTGTAAACCCAGGCAAAAGCATTGAAGTATCTGTACACCATGAAGAAAATTCTACTCAAGAAGCATTTGTGGACGGAATTATAAGTAGCCGACGGTGCGAAGACATTATGGAGAAAGAAGCCGTGCTGTTAGTGAATGTAATGGGTAATTACTCGACCAAGCGAATAACTCACCGGGTAAATGTCCATTGCTGTTATTCGGACAGGCTGTCCAGTGGGGAAAAAGGAATTTCTAAGAGAGTTCAATCAAACCATCTTGGTGCTGATTTTGCTGCAGACCTGGAAAGTAACACAGATTTGGTTCAGGACTCATGTACAAACCCCTGATCATTGTACTGATACTTCATAAAAGATGAATTTTTTGGAGAAATTGAGGTAACTTTAGATCAATTCTTTATTCTTTTGTACATATTAGCTAACATGCAAAATGTTCTTTAGACAGTTGATTTTGATTGTTTGTAGGGCTATATTTGTTGGTTATCTTAAAGTTCCTTGTCGAAATGTATTTGTTAGGTATGATCTTGTGTATTTACACTTTGTAATGATGTGCATAAGCTCTTGTAAGATTTTTGCCCCTTTTTTCCGCCTACTGTATATTTGATAGAGAACTGTAATGAGTTTATTTGAAGGGTGATGATTCTTTACTAGTTTGATTCATGCTGGACAGTTTATTTCTGATTTTCACTGGATTCTTGTTCTAGGTAACTGTTATCCCTCTCTCACCCCACTTCTTGAAATAACCATCAAATTTCTATTAGCGAGTTGAAACTACAATAAGAGGAGAGAAAAATGTTGTGGATGCCAATTAAATTGGTGGATAACCGTGAACGTGCCGTCAACTGCACGTTAATCAGCTTTTGAGCGAGTCATAAAAAGTAGAATATGATGTCTTTTTGACATAGGAGACATATATTTTTCCTTTCTTTTGTGAGATCAAGATGTACGTCTTTCATGTATGTTTCTATTGGAGACATTTCATTAGCTTGTCCTACTGGAGACATTTCATTAGCTTGTGTTTAATGTAATATTGGGGGTTAAATATACTTCACAGTTTTTCATCTGAAGAAAATGTTCCCCTTTAACATTCAAGAATGAAGTTACGATAAACTCATTAGAAAGAGAGTAGAAAGGTTAAGAAGAAAATTAGACATTTTCCTGTGCTAATCTATAGCAACAGAATTATACTAATAAGGATTAGGAAAGGTAGATTAAGGTTACTTTAGCGACATGCACTAAGCCTGCATGCTTTAACATGAAAAGATGCACCGTGTCTCCTAAAGCAAACACATGGATGCGCCTATTTTTCTGTTTCTTTTCCTGTAAATGTGCTTGTTTTGAGGCACTTGGCAATGCCCATTAACTCTTTCTCTTCTTATTTTACATCCATGCAACTTTTCTCGTTGCACATGAGAGAGAAAAGATTAAAGAAGTGAAGGTTCGCTCACCTTAGTGCTCGTTGTTTTCCCCCCTTTCAGGCAGCGAGTCTGGCGCACGGAGAGTCGCAGGTTGATGGGACTTCTTAATTGTCCATTTAGTTACTTATCATATTTTGTAGTTATTGTATAACTCCACATGTAGTTGATTATTTTCAGAATCTAGATTGGTATTTTGTTTCATAGAGTTGAGAGCTATTGTGAGACTTTGTTTATGTGACTCATTGTATTTGAGATTCAATTCAGACTCAGAGATATGTCTATTTTATTCCAGTTGGGCTCATTATTGATTTTTCTTATGCTTCTTCTGTGTATATCCAGTGTTGTCCTATTTCTATTTTTACCTGTCTGTACCTTCACCTATTTATTGTTTCCACTAGAGAGATAGTGATTGTGATGGTGAAACTTGTCATAGCATGGTGGTTGGTGCTTGGCAGGTTTGACAATCCGGGTTTTACCTGGGACTGCAGCCTTGTGTGAACCCTGGGGCGTCACAATTGGTATCAGAGCTCTAGTTCCAGCATCCTTAGGATAATTCCTGTGTCAAATTGTGGAGCTAGGATAGAGTTTCCTAGGATTCACGTATAGAGTCCGTTAGGAATTCCTAGAATGAGTGAGGACGATATGTGCGTATATCTCAAAATTTTAATTTTTTTATGACTATTATTTTATGTTGATTTGAAGTATTTGCGTGAATACTATATGTTATGAATACGTATTGTGATACGTTATATATATGTATATATGTTTGCGATCTCACTTACTGTGATCATAAGCTCTCCTCTCGATAATATAAATATTGGAACGAGGATGCAGTCGAGATAAAACTCATACCCGAAGAGCTGGGCAAGCAGAGTCCGAGCCGCAGTAGGCTCCACAGTATTTGATCGACTTTATGTCACTGTTTGCAGAAACAGAGACTAGTAACACTCAAGGAGGGAGTAGCGAGGCACATTACATTTTCTGGAGTTTCACCACCTGTTGTACTAATTGTGCCAATTGAAGAGGTAATACTAATGATTACATTATCACCACAACCATTTGTTGATAGAGATACAGAGCAGGAGGCTTGGCTCTATAAGAATAAGAAAGATGTAGGATAAGAAAGATATAGGACACTGAGAACACCATAGTGCAGGGCACATTGGATTCATATGCAGCTTATAAATAAAAAGGAATATGTAAAAAATTCCTTAACGTAGACTCAGTATCAAACCAGAGGTTAAATATATTCAGCACAGAGGATATTACCAGAGAATAGCATCAAAGAATAGCTACGATTTCAGATTTTCATCGGGACAGTGAATATCACTTATTTGGGAAAATTTTGTTTACTTCTTCGACAAGCAGTTAGAGCTAGTTTGCTTAAAACAGTGAGATATGCCTATAGTTAATTATGAAATCAAGACTAGCATGATGGCTGATGGCAATGACAAGGGCAAGAGGACTATTATGGGATCTAGAGGACCCCAGCAGCGGGGTAAGGATTTTTACCATCAGCAATAAAGACATTACAAGAAAATAGCAAACATGATTTGATAACACCACAACAGCGCATGATTCGGGACACATGATACAATTATAACAAGATCGGACATAGAGCGAAGAATTATCGCAGTACACCAGTATGAGACTAGCATGATAGAGATCAGGGCCAATAATCTTAGGGCAACAGTTACGGCTAGCATCGGAGGATAGATGTTCTACCGGTTATTCTGAGGATGTAGGGGCCTATAGGCCAGAATTGTGCTATTCAGAGTATTCATCAGTGTCAGATGGACCCATGTGTTTCACCGCCAGCAGCGTAGCAGGCGTCGGCCACCAGCAGAGTTTATGTAGTCGCGCCACGTGATCATAGTGCGAGTAGAGTTTTCATAGTAAATTCTTATCCAGCTCGAATCTTGTTGATTCAGAAGCTTCGCATTTTTTTATCTATCATGATGTTATAATTGGACATCAGCTTGTAGCGTAGCGTTTCAGCGTTCCATTATCAATTTGTACTCCTTTAGGGGAGGTGTCCCTATTAGAGAGTATATGTAGGAGATGTGTCATCAGTATAGATGAGTCTGAGTTCATCTTTGTCATAGTCGTGTTGGGGATGTTGAATTTCGACGTCATTCTTAGTATGAAATGGTTATCGTCCTACAATATCAATATCGACTGTTTTGTTAAAACAGTACGCTTGTGAGCATTTATTGGGATTGTATAGATAGTAGCAACCTCATAGGGTAACCAGAATGAGGAGTCATTTCTGGCATACGTCGAAGAGGTGATGATACGAGATCGGGGTGCAGTTTTGAGCGAGACCGGAGTTGTCTCAGTATATCAGGATGTCTTTCAGGACATACCTATGTTTTCTCCAGAGAGAGAGGTTGTTTCCCTGCATCGAGTTGCAGCAGGCACCGTACCGATATTCCGAGCACCTTACCATATCATATGGCACCCGCTGAGATGAGGGAGCTACATACTCAGCTAGATGAGTTGTTATCACAGAGTTTTTATCTGGAGTCTTTTTTTTGGAGCACCGGTCTTCTTCGTGGGGAAGAAGGACTATAGCATGCGATTGTGTATCGATTATCGTGAGTTGAACAAGGTCATTTTCCGGATCACGGATCCACTATCGAGGATTTATGACTTGTTTGACTAGCTGCGGGGAGCGCAACATTTCTCAAAGATTAATCTTCATTCTAGTTATTTCCAGTTGCGATTGCGGTAAATGGATGTTTCCAAAACCGCATTTTCTG